AGGCTCTTCCAATCCGCCTCATTAGTGACATCTTGTGGCTCCCACCTGAGGTTGACAGAAAGAGAGAGAGACACCGACCCGTTTTGTTAGGAACCACTATTTCAACAAAATAAAACAAAAAAAAACAACCAAATCTTTATACTAAATTATAAAATGCTCTGGTGGGAATTATGACCTGACCATCATAAGTGCACTGTCACTGTCCTCTCCTAATCGTGTGAGCTTCAGGGGACTCTCATTTTTACGTGGTTTTCCGGTATACCTGCACAAAAACAAAACAAACAAAGACGGCCATGTCAAGAAATGTGAGGTGAATTCACTCATTTGAGTGGCCAATCGACTTGCAGAGTCATTTACAATTCACAGCATGCATGCATGCAAAAATGAGTAGAAGATTTACAGTGAGCCAGGTTTTGAATCATGTGTCGGATGAGGTCGCTGGTGCTGAAGCTGCTCCTGCTGCAAGATTCAGGTCCAAAAATGAGTAAGAGCTTTTGGAGCTCAGTACCTCATGATGTACATGGCAGGGCAGCTGCTCCAAATGTCATCCAAAATGACCCCGGAATCACAAGATTGCTGTCACCATGGTCAGTGACATCAAGACATGTTTTGAGCTATTTATGCCATTGTCAGTATAAAGAATCATCATCACTATGATAAACCTTGAAGGACAAAAAGTCCATGGTGACGTGCGGAAAGACATTGACGAGGAATACCTGGATGCTCTCATTCTTCTTCTTGCTGGAGTGTAACGATCCTGCAATGAGGCCACTGATAGTCTGTAGGGCGCATCGACAGGCAGAAATATTTCAGATTATATCAAGAGTCCTCAGATTTGACAACAGAGAGAGACCAGAGCGAGATCTGACAAGCTTGCTCCCATCAGGGACGTCTGGGAGAGATCGGTGCAGCTCCTTCCGCTGATGTTCAACACAGGGCCACAGGGGACAGTGGATGAACGTCTTCTCCCTTTCCGAGGAAAACGCCCCTTCCGGCAATACATAACCAGTAAGCCAGGGAAATACAGCATAAGAATCTGGGCAGTCTGTGATGCATAAAACAGCTACAGTATGCATGGAATCTCCAGATTTACGCAGGCAAAGCTGCGAGTGGCATCGCTGAGAAAAACCAAGGAAAATGTGTAGTCCGTGATATGACCACTGGACTGCAGGGTCACATCATATCATTTGTGGACTTTTTTTTTTTTTTTTTTTTTTTTTACCAGCTATGACCTATACTTTTTACTTACTATACATTTTTGCATTTCCTTGATGTAAAAATATATATGGCTCAAAATTGACCTGTAACACCATAGATGTTACTTTAGTTATTAATATTAAAATGAACAAATAAATAAAACAAAATCATTTAAGAGATATGTTCTATACCCTAGAGATGATAACAGAAAGCTAACACAAAAGGAAGGTTAAAGAAGAAACTTAACAGACCATAACAACATCATTAGACAGCGTATCAGCACACTGTAATAAATAAATGTAATATTGGTATTGGTATTTCAACAACTCGGTTACTGAGCTAATCATGCCAAGAATTCCCATGTGCACCAGTAGAGGGAGCCCGCAGACTGAGAACCGCTGCTTTAGATCCAGTGACTTGAATACTAGTGATGTGCGGATCGATCCTGAAATATCGATACTTCCGATTCTGGATCTTTATGCTCTGAAATCGATTCTGAAATCAAAATATCGATACTTTTGATAACTTACGCATTCTGAGATGAGGTGTATCCTAAACAGAAACACGGTGAAAAGTATCCAAATGATTGAGATGTTGTCTAAGTGACGCTCGGTTGGTGGGACTACTTCTTCTTCCGCCTGGGTGTGTGCGTCATGCGTAAGCACAGGTGGCTCTACTCCGTGCTCTCACTCAGTCACTATTGATGGCTCTTTTTTAGAGAACCGGTTCTTTTGACTCGGTTCACTGAAAAAATCCGACTCTTTCGGGTCCCAAATGGCTCCTCAGATTGTTTATTTATTTTTGTTTTACAAATAACATGTTTTCAGAGTTTGAAACATTGTTTTGACATATTTTATATGATTGTGTTCTCAGGTTTTTTCTATTGTTGTGTTGACTGTATAGTAAATGAGGCAGCTACCTCAGTACACTCCAGAGTTTAAAATAAATTTAAAAAACTCTGCCTTGGATTCTTAAAGAAGCTATGATTTGAAATACACATTTTTTTTAATTTAAAAGACAAATGATAAAATATCAGTATCGGTATCGGCGATACCAGCCCGAATTTTACTCGGTATTGGATCGGAAAGGAAATTGGTGGTATCGAACATCACTATTGAATACAGTGAATGCTGAAGGATGATGTAAGAGATTCAGTCTTCAAGAAGCGACGTCAGATTTTGGTCAGAAACTGGGGCAGAAAAAAAAAGTAGACATTAAACCGTGAATTCATCCATTTTAGATAGAAGTTTATTGTTTTGGCTTCTGTACCTACAGAACAGGAAAAAGAAAGATTCCCCGTCCACTCAGGTGAGTTCAGTCAGAGACACTCAGTAAAAGACACTCAAGTGAGTCCAATCAGGGACACGCAGCTACCTCAGTACACTCCAGAGTTTAAAATAAATTTAAAAAACTCTGCCTTGGATTCTTAAAGAAGCTATGATTTGAAATACACATTTTTTTTAATTTAAAAGACAAATGATAAAATATCAGTATCGGTATCGGCGATACCAGCCCGAATTTTACTCGGTATTGGATCGGAAAGGAAATTGGTGGTATCGAACATCACTATTGAATACAGTGAATGCTGAAGGATGATGTAAGAGATTCAGTCTTCAAGAAGCGAAGTCATATTTTGGTCAGAAACTGGGGCAGAACAAAAAAAGTAGACGTTAAACCGTCAATTCATCCATTTTAGATAACAGTACAGGAAGTTTATTGTTTTGGCTTCTGTACCTACTGAACAGGAAAAAGAAAGATTCCCCGTCCACTGGTCAAAATGCAGTACCATTACTGACCAGACGGCTTTACCCCACTGCTGCTGCTGCAGGTGATCTGATCTGTTCGCATGGTTTCCAAAAATGGAGAGACAGTGGTAAAAAAATATAAAAGACAATAAGACAGAAGAACATACAGTAGATATGTAGCACACACACAAAAAAAGGCCAGCGACACTGAGAAAACACAGGAGGAGCAACAAACAGAGGTGACACTCGGGTGAGTCCAGTCAGAGACACACAGTCAGAGACACTCAGGAGAGTCCAGTCAGAGACACTCAGGTGTCCAGTCAGAGACACTCAGTCAGAGACACTCAGGTGAGTCCAATCAGAGACATTTAGGTGAGTCCAGTCAGACACACTCAGTAAAAGACACTCAGGTGGGTCCAGTCAAAGACACTCAGTAAAAGACACAAGTGAGTCCAATCAGAGACACTCAGTTAGAAACACATAGATGAGTCCAATCAGAGACACTCAGTCATACTCAAACTCAGATGGGTTCAGGCAGAGACATTTAGGTGAGTCCTGTTAAAGACACTCAGTCAGAGACACTCAGGTGAGTCCAGTCAGAGACATTTAGGTGAGTCCTGTTAAAGACACTCAGTCAGAGACACTCAGGTGAGTCCTGTCAGAGACACTCAGTCAGAGACGCTCAGGTGAGTCCAGTCAGAGACACTCAGGTGAGTCCTGTCAGAGACACTCAGGAGAGTCCAGTCAGAGACACTCAGGTGTCCAGTCAGAGACACTCAGTCAGAGACACTCAGGTGAGTCCTGTCAGAGACACTCAGGAGAGTCCAGTCAGAGACACTCAGGTGAGTCCTGTCAGAGACACTCAGTCAGAGACGCTCAGGTGAGTCCAGTCAGAGACATTTAGGTGAGTCCAGTCAGAGACACTCAGTTAGAGACGCTCAGGTGAGTCCTGTCAGAGACATTTAGGTGAGTCCTGTTAAAGACACTCAGTCAGAGACACTCAGGTGAGTCCAGTCAGAGACACTCAACGCTCAGGTGA